GCGGGAGTGCCACCGTGCTCCCAAGCGGCGCACTGTAGCAGTGCGCCACCGGGCCAGCCCCATTCTTTACTTTTTTATTCTCTTTCTTCTCCTTTCTGTAATCTAAAAGCTCCAAGAGATAGGAAATTTGTGTGGGATTTAACTACCTGTGGAACGGATGCTGAATGAATTGCAGAGTAGAGAAACACAATAAAATGAGTGTGGTTACTGACCATCTCAGGTCATAGGACAGATGGCCCCTTGAATAATACACAGTCTGGTTAATTAGCCTATTACTTTGAGTTTATGATGTGCTAAATGACTGCCTCACTTGGCCAAAGCCTATTTAACAAAGCTCACCATTTCCTCTTTGATACGCTCTGTGATTTTATCAGTCGCTTCCTCATGTGCATGGAACAAGCTGATGATGCTTGTATTATCAGGGTCCAAGATATTTCCATCTTCATCTCTGACAATCAGATCAAGCTCAAGGATTCTGAAAAGCAAAAACTGGAGGTGAAATTCAACATAGGAGGCCTTTAGCACATGGGTGAGAAGTTTCTACCAGAAAGTTCTACTGATTTCTGAGGATCACTTATTTGCATAGAAAATCTCTACACGGATAGCCTCAGACACAGCTGGGGAATGCAAATCAGTGTAGTATAGCCACTTTGAAAGATGCTATGGCAGAGTGCATTAAGTTTTTTAAAAATGTACATTTCCGGGCCGGCCCGGTGGCGCACTGGGTAGTGTGCCGCTTGGGAAGCACGGCAGCGCTCCCGCCCGAGGGTTCGGATCCCACATACAGACCGGTTCCCGCTCACTGGCTGAGCGAGGCGCGGGAGCAACACCGAGGGTTGCAATCCCGTTGCCGGTCCCCGGTCCGGTACGGGGGCAACACTGAGGGTTGCGATCTGTTGCCAGACACGGAAAAAGACAAAAAAAAAAATGTACATTTCCTGTGATATTAAACTGAAACACCCCACATTGGAACAAGGATGTGTGCTGCAGCATTGTCTGCATCAGCAAAGTGTTGAAAAAAAGCACAATATCTACCAAAGAGAAAATGGCTAAATAAACTGTAACCTATAATGGAATACCACATAGAAGGGTTTTAAAAATATTATACAGTGTTGATATATTTAATGACATATCTCAGTGAAATCAAGTAGGGAAAGATGCATACAGTGTATTTTATGTAATAAATAAATAAGTAAATAACAACAAAACAAACCAAAACCAGGGAAGATCTGTTACCTCAGTGCATATATAAGGGTAACAAAGAACAGAGAAAAATCTGGACAGGAAAAGACCAAACTACCAGCACGGGTGACCTGTGAGGAGAGGTAGGAGCATAAGGCTGGGAGGGGTGGAGATGTCAGTGGATACATGTGCCTTTTCTCAATTTGTTTAATGTTTTACTCACACACGCACACGTGACCTGTGAGGAGAGGTAGGAGCATAAGGCTGGGAGGGGTGGAGATGTCAGTGGATACATGCGCCTTTTCTCAATTTGTTTAATGTTTTACTCACACACGCACACGCACACACACACACACACACACACACATACATAGAAGGTATTCATATATGTGGCTACTTCAAAAAGTTTGTGGAAAAATAAAATTAAAAGATAATATGAATCGTTCCATAAACTTTTCGAAGTATCCTCATATTACTTAATAAAAATTTGAGAATAGTGGGGCAGGGGGAATCTCATATATATTGATTGCTATCCACAGCTTGCTCTTCAGCTGTTTGACTTCCAGGCCATGAGCTTTTCCTGTTTGGTATTGATTCCTTTCAACTACATCTGTCATCCTGACTGGCATCAACAATACCAGTAACAGCAAACATCCACACAGCACTTGCAAAATGTTCTCATACATTAAGTGCTATACACAGATTAATGCACTTAATCTAATGACCTTATGAAGGGAATACTAGTAATATCCCCATTTTACAGATGAAGAAAAGACCAAAGCTAGTTAATTTGCTCAAGGTCACACAGCTATTAAAAACTAATATGGTATGCTTGTCTGCACTCTTGGCCTTTATGGTATACTTTCTAGATAGGAAAAGCTTAGGAGTAATATATGGGGTGGGCAGTGGGGAGTTTGCAGAGGCCTTGACTTTAAATTGCTTTTGCACTTGCTGTTGAGATGGAGCACACAAACAAGGCAGGAGGAGGTGGCTGATGGATAGTCTGAGAAGGCCAACAATGGTCCTGCTTGGGCACCACTACTGAGTACGAGATTTTGGAAGAACAAGGACAAATGAAGGAGGCTAAGTCTTCATCTTTTACTTGAGAATCAAATTGAGAGGCGCATCTCTCATCTCATCCAAATGCGAACGGAAGGGGGCCAAGGTTCACCCGTGTGTCCACATTCATTAGGAAATTAACTTCCAGCTAGATATGACTCATGATGTTGCACAGCCACGCCGCCCAATGGGTGGTGCTGAGGAGGAGAAAATGCACTCAGCTAATGCTGAGCAGAGGCCCAGGCGACCTCGGAAAAGATGGAGCACAGCTGATACATAATTTAATGCCAAGATTTCTCTAGCTCTTTCTCTTCAAAATGTATCAGAGAGGATTCGGTTCTAAAATGTATGAATAAAACATTTTCCCAGGTCTGGCTATCTTGGGATTTGGAGAAGTCATTTGAGGATTCCTCACTCCCTGGATACCAAAGAGCTTGCCGATTATCTCACTTGGAGCATTGGAAGCTTTAGTGGTCATGGCAGAAATGATGCAATTTCCGTGGCCCAGGGTCAGGAGAGGCTGTCCTCCCATGGGACAGCGCCACCCTGAATGCAGCAACCATTCATTTTAAAGAAAAGAGCATGTTGACATTTTCTCTTCAGAAGGTTGCCCACTGTTCTCTTCCATTTAAGAAAGTGACAAAATGAACCCAAGATGAGGATGGGAAGGAAGCCCCCACTGTATGCATTTAAAAAAAAAAAAGGAAAAGGAAACAGAGATGGCTCCTGCCACATCTCCCCATCACCCTCTGGACAAATCCAAACTTCTTTACTTGGCGCTCAAGTTTTAGGGTTCCGACTTCCATCTGCCTTCCTCTCCAAGTTCATGTTCATCTCTCATGTCCTTCCACCTTCCTCCTTCTCTCTGTCTCTGAGTTTCTCTTCTTCACTTCACCTACTAATCCCTGCTAGTCTTGGTAGATTCAGGGCATTCATCACCCCTGCCCTGCCTCCCAACCCCGTCTCCACCAAGCTTCTTGTCCATGTTTCTTCCTCTTATGGTGTGTATGATTTCCCACTCAAAGTGTCTATTCATGTCTCTGCCACCTTACTGATGCAGAGTCCTTGTGAGGCAGTAGAATGCAGTGCTTAAGCACTTGAGCTCCAGAGCTACACTGCCTGGTTCAACTTCCACTGCGTCTTAGGCAAAATCCCCTAATCACTCTGTGAGCCTCAGTCTCCTCATCTGAGAAACAGGGATGATAACTTAACTGAGCTAACACATGGAAAGTGCTTACAACAGTACCTGGCGTGGAGTGATACTCAGTAAGCTACCATTAGCTCTTACTGCTTGCTTTTTTATTGTTGTTATTAAAAATAGAGGCTTTATTTTGTATATTTCTGTACCCTTTCCTCATCTGAGAAACAGGGATGATAACTTAACTGAGCTAACACATGGAAAGTGCTTACAACTGTACCTGGCGTGGAGTGATACTCAGTAAGCTACCATTAGCTCTTACTGCTTGCTTTTTTATTGTTGTTATTAAAAATAGAGTCTTTATTTTGTATATTTCTGTACCCTCGGGGTCTTCCAGGTGTGCAACAAAGTTAGATGTCCAAATGAAATAATGGAGTGAATGAGAGAAGAAACAGGCTGGTTCTGATCCCTCCTCTAAGCTCAGCTCTACCTGGTGCTTCCCCACCTCTTACAGCTGGAGGTCAGCGTTCCTCATGCTGCTCCTGATGCTCTGCTCAGATGCCAACCACACCATGTCAAAGCCCTGAGCCCCCAAGATACCAGGCCAGTGCTAAGGGGACCAGCTCTCTCTCACTTCCAGCTGAAGTTGTTGGGGAAGGGAGAGGATCCCCTTAGCTTGGGGCCTCAGTCTTTGTGGCAGGACAACTCTCACTTCCCCAAAAGAAATGGACTGAAACTGAAAGCACATAGCCGGGTCAGAGGAATGCTGCACGGGAGAGCCTGGTTTAGAGAGGACCCTGTTTTTCCCATCATCACCATTCCTCCACTCACTAAGCACCTACTGTGTGCAGACCCTGTTCCAGGCACAGACATAGGGATGAATTTGACAGTCAATGTCTTAGAGGAGCTCCCAGGATAGCAGGGGAGATGGAACAAGAAAGAGGCGATTGCTGTTCTGGGTGCTAAGGATCTGCAAGAGCACCTAACCCAGACAGAGGTGGGCAGGGGAAAATCAGGGAAGCCTTCCTTTGAGCAGTGATCATTTCTTCTATCCCCGGTCCTTCTCAGGAACCCCCATTGAGGAAACAATGTCTGAAAGTCACAGATGTCATTGGAAATCAGCAAAATGCTCTCAGTTCTCACATTCTCAGCTGCAACTGTGCTCAGCTAAAGACACCACTGCACCAATGGCAGCAGCAGCTATGTGGCAAACCCTTCCTGTCACTTTGGGCTGACATGCTTTATAAGAGGATTTGGACACAATTGCCAGATGTGAACAGGGGAACCAGCAGAGAGACTGTGTTCCTGGGATGGGAAGCAGCTGTAATTTGGATCCTCTTGCTAGCACATGTGACAAGGGCAAGAAAGCCCAGCTTCAGGGAATTTTTTTTTTTTATTCTCTTTAAATGGGATCTTTTTACTTCCCCCTCAGGCCCTATGTTCCAGCCTTCTGACCTACTTTCAGTCTCTTGAACGTCCCATGTTCTCTCATGAACCTCTGCCCTTCCTTTTTTGTTTTAAGTCTGCTTAACAACTCTTTATCCTTCAAAATTCAGCTCAGTGGTCACCTCCTCCAGGAAGCCTTCCTAGACTTACATCCCCAAGTTGAATTAAGAGCAGTATTTTTCCTAAGCCATCAAAATTACTATAACACATATTAAAAGCTTACTTGTAATTTACTCCTAACTGGACTTTTGTCCCTTAGTGGACAGGGACTTTTATTTTTGTACTACCATACCTAGCAGAAAATTCAGCCAACCATATGTGCTCAATAAATGTTTGCTATTGGAATGAATGAACAGATGAATAGGATGTTTGGAGAATATTCACAAAACCAGGAGAGTGGGAGGTCTTCACAGTTCTTAGGTCTATCTAGGCAGCAGAGTAATGAGGCCCATGGACTTTGGAGCCAGACTGACTGGGTCTAAATTCTGGTTCTGCTATTTACCAGCTGTGTGACTCTGGACAAGTTACTTAACCTATTTGAGCCTTGGCTTCTTCATCTGAAAAAATGGGGATAATAAAATGGCATGCCCCATAGAGTTATTATAAGAATTAATTGATACACCAAGTCTGGTACATAATAAGCTCTGATTAAGTGTTAGTTATAATATTAAGATCACTACTATTATTATCAGCGGGCTGTTCTGCCTCAACAAATCGTTTCATTTTCTCCTTTACTTCATAGCATTCAAATTCCAACCAATTTCTGCTTCTCCTTCCTTTTGAGGAATCACTTTTGTTATTGTGCATGTGAGTTAGCTGACGGCATGTGGCTTGGATAATTTAGGATTGAGAAGAGACATTAAGCCTCACACGGGGAGTTAAAGGAGAGTTTTGTAAACGCAGGGATAAAATGACAGCTAAGCTGGAAGTGAACCAGCATGACTGTGCTCCCCAGCCCCTCAGAAGTAGGTTAAATGAGTGTCCTAAATCTCTCAGCCCAGTAATAGCCACCGCATAAGCCAGCCTTCACTCCACTTGCATGTTCCTGGGTCCCAGAGGGTGATAACAAAGGCACACAAGCACGGTCATTGGCAACAGCCTTCCCCCAAATAGAAAGCGGCAAACTCGCTTCTAAAAATGAAACCAATCTCTGAAGGGAGCACAGGAGGAAGGGGCATAAGTGGGGGAAGAAAGCAACTTTTCAGAGGAAAGAGAGATTACTTGTTGCCATAGTCGATCTTGGACGTGACTTTCTGCTTCAGTTCTTTCAGCTCGTCCTTGGGCAGAGTTCCTGAGAGGAGCTGGGACCTCCACTCCATCAGATCGTACATCATGCACTGCACCTGGAGGAAACGCTCCTTTTTGCTGGCCTAGGAGACAGGAAACAATCTGCAATCACCTGGGCCGAAGGAGTATGGGCATCTATTTTGGCAAGCTGTGTCAAAGTCGCGCAAGCACGTTCAGGGGCCATGGCCTGCACCTCTCTCCCAACAGTACCCAGCTCCAAAGCATGTGGGTGATGATTTTAGTCACTGGTACCTTTCTTTCCCCTGAGCGATAGGGGTTTCCCAAAATCAATAATCACTTTGGTTAAAGAAGGGGCCATGGCCTGCACCTCTCTCCCAACAGTACCCAGCTCCAAAGCATGTGGGTGATGATCTTAGTCACTGGTACCTTTCTTTCCCCTGAGCGATAGGGGTTTCCCAAAATCAATAATCACTTTGGTTAAAGAAAGGGTAATTTCTGACTTTTATCCAAAAAGATACTTTTTGGATAGAAATGTCATGAATATCTGCTTATATAACAGATGTCTCCAGGCTCAGGCCCTTCAAGGCTGGGAGCCAGGGCCATTTATCTGATGTGAAAGGACTGTTTCTAGGGCAGAATTCCCCTAAGTGAGGCATGTGTGCAATTTGTGAGACCCAAGATTGCTCTTGGTGGTACAAAGATACAACATCAAATAACACTGACCCATACAGTCATTCTCTTCCACTCTCCTTCCATCCTTCTTTTTAAGGGAAAGAGAAAGTTGCCATTTCATGGTAATATGTCTTTAAACACCTATTGCACATTTGTCAGTTTCTTTTTTTTAACAGAGAGAGAAGGTCTTGGGCTCAGAGTTTTTGACCGGATCTATAGCATGCATCTAATAACACTGTCTTGTTTTCACTGTATTTATCTGAATAGTGTTCTTCTAATTGTGCCGAGTACTTTTGGCTTTCTATTTGGGAAAGCATGTGTGGTATAAGAAAAAATACATGTATTTGGTCTTTGTCCCTGGTTCCTGGTGCAGTGCTCCTAAAACCCTTGGAATATCCTGAGTTAGGAATGTCTTTTGTTACTCATAACGAGCCCCTTGCAGCCATACCTGAGTTTATGCTAATAAGACAACTCNACTGAGGGTTGCGGTCCGTTGCCAGACACGAAAAAAGACAAAAAAAAGGAAAAAAAAAAAAAAGAAACTCTTGAACATTAAGGTTCGAGGAGCTTCCCAGATGGTAAACAACACATCAGTTTCCTGGGAGGGTGGCATCTCCAGAGAAGACATGGAAGCTCTGTGCCTCCCTGTATCTTGCCCTATGTATCTCTTCCATTTGGCTGTTAAGTATAGCACTTTCCTGAGTTCTGTGACTTGTGCTAACAAATTATGAAACCTGAAGTAG